TTAAAAAAACCAAAAAAAATATACAAAAAAATTATTTAAAAAGTACTGTAAAAAAAAACTAAAACCAAAATAAATTATAATTACTTTAATGGCGCAGCGTCCGATGGCACGTACTGCTTTGCGCACGAAATCTACATCCACCTCTGTAGCGTACTCCTTCAGCTCGCTCAGCACTTGGGCAATGTTGGTTTGATTAGCCAAACGTATCATGATGTCAAGTTTTTCCAATTTCACGTAAATGGGATCGTTGTATTTGACAAAGAATACTTTCATCTCGTGCTTAAGTATGTCGGGCCGTTTCTGCACAATCAAATTAATGTTACGTAAAGCAACATACTGTACCTCAGGCTCTGACGAGAGCAGTGTAACCAATGGTGGCGCTAATTTCTTTGTGAGCGTTGCGCAGAAGTCGCTATCATTTGAAAGCATTTCCAACAGTTTCATGAGCACTTTTACAGCGCTCAAAACCACTGCCGCATTGGCGTGTGCCAAACGTGGGGTAATACGTTCACAAATAGACTGCGCCTCACGCTCGTCTTTGGGACTGTAATTGGCCAGCGAGTCGAGTATAAACACTTGTCCCCATTCGGTGCACTCATTAAGTGCTGTGAGTAATTTATTGATAGTTACTGAATTCATTTCGACCAACGGTTGGCCAGACTGACTAGCCTCATTGATTTCACTTAACGCGGCAACGGCGTTAGCCACAACCATGGGGTTTGAATCAGAGAGCAGATCTTTAAGCTGATCCAAGAAGCCTTGGTCCTCAACCTAATGTACGTGTATTAGTAATTTGCATATAAAATATAAATATATTTTGCATTTACCATTGAGGAAGAGATATCATATAACTTGGCGACGCATACAGCAGCTGTCTTGCGCACGTAAGGATCTTCGTCTTTCAAGCACTTGCGTAGTGGTTCGCATAAATATTCGGTGATTTTATCAACACGTATACAGCCCATGGTGCGCACAGCCAATGCGCGTATGAGTGGATTGGAATCCTCACAATCCTGCATAGTAACTAAAATGTAATAACCTTGTCTTGTTTACAACTAAATATCTACCTTCACAAAAGTATTAACAGCCATTATTGCCATATCCGGCTGCGATTTGGCGTAGTTCATTAAATACAAGTATACTAATTTTTTCAACTCCAAATTATCTGTTTGCATACAATTGACGACATCGGGAAATAGCGCCGATACATCTTTGCCCACCGTCATGCTGGCGATGACCTTAAATATTGACAGGAAATATTAAGTATTTGTGTATCAGTATGTTTGCTATTTGACTATACCTTCTTTACCGCTTCCTTTTTCTTTTCTTTCTTGTCATTGTTCAACTCGGATTTGAGTTCAAAGATTTCACCCTTCTTAGTAGTTGTAAAATACTTGGAGTCAGTCATGTTGTCTTACGAATTGCGTTTAACTGCAGAAAGAGAGCGCGAAACCAAATAATTAAGCTTGCTAATTAATATAATAATTTTTAATTAAATTTCATTTGCTTTTAATCAATATCTTCCGGCACGTCTATCGCTGAGCGTATACAAAAATTTAGATACGTATGTACGTGTGCACATGCATAAATATGTGTCACTCAGTGTAAGCGAAGTCTCACTTTTTCGGTAAAGGGGCGTATGATTGTAAACTTTATTTACTAGTATTTTTTACACATTTCAATAATTTCGTGATATAAACTGTTTTTATTGTATTATTCCGCACATATTGTATAATTTTTGTATTTTTACCTTGTTTAATTGAGAATTAATGCTCTTTTTAATGCAGTCACGAAAATTTTCCAACAATGCAAAAGTAATGATTTTTCGAGCTGTGTTTAATACGTATAAGCGTATATTTGTATGCTGTCTTGTATGAGTACTGTCATTCTGTGGAGAGAATATATCGATAAATGGTTTTATATCGATTTTAGGAAAAGGAAATGAAAAGTCAGATTAAAAAGGAAACTAACTTTGTTATCAAAAACGAAGCCCTTTAAATTTAATAAATTTATTTATATAATAATTGAAAAATGTGAAGTTTTAGCTGTCATTTTTAGTTCTTAATAACTATAGAATAAAAAGACAACTATTAATGTTAGCTAACAAATTTTTTTATTTATTTTTTTAATTTTTTTTTTTACTTTTAAATAGTAATTTAGGTATTTAATGATTTAAATCTCATTCAGAGTGATAAACACATAAATCAAATGAAGAAAAATGTACGTTAATGAGTTGCACGTTCTCATTTAATTTCATTTTTGTTTAAGAACTTGTTCAATGAATATTTGTTTTGTATATTTTATAACAAGTTACTAATTTCCTTAATATTTTTGCTATTGGTAATTTTTTCTTCTTTATTTTTGTTGTTAAATAGGTAAGTTACATAAGTTGTTCTGTTAAATATTTTTTAACTATTTGTTTTTTATGTTAGTTTGTATTTTTAAGTCAATATATGCGTTAGCTTTTAACATTAAACTGCATAAATTTTCCATTTTGACTGTAATACAATAGAATCCAATTGCAATGTATAAGTAGTATTAAAATTTGTTAAATTTCAATTAAGTAAAGTTTTTTTATTTTATTATTTGTTAGTATAATATTTCAAGAACATACATATCATTTACTGATTCCACTTTATTTCGCTTGTTTTACGTTTATTTGCCAATATTTTCAAACTTTGTATAGGTTATTTAAATTTCTACTACAATTTTTGTCTCAATATTGCTGTTAAATTATACAGTGGCGCGTTACAATAACAATTTCAATAATTCAGTCTTTTGAAATAAATCAAAACCTAAGTACATTCATTTCAGCAGAAAAACATTAAAATTAATATAATGCAGCTTGTATTTTATCTATGTAACAACTGTTTTTTACGCTTAATTATTTCTTCAATATATTACGTTACGTTTTTCAAAAATAGTTTCACATTTCTTGCTATAAATAGTTTTCTTGCAGTAGTGGGATTTCCAGATTTTTCTCATTTATACATCGACACTATGTCTTAATGTAATGGCTATTTGAAATCTTTTTTCAGCAATTTCATTAGTTACTGTGATTATCGTTAAGTTTTTAAACCGCTGTCATTCCTTTTGCCTGTCCCAGGAGGATATACAATTGAAAAATTAAATTATTATAAAAATAAAAGATCGAAAAATACTATTTCCAGTTGCAATTATTTGAAGTGAACTTTGCAAACTTGATATATTTTCAAACGCGACTTTTCGCCTTTTAATTATATATAAGTTTTCGATTTTATTAGCAAATTCAATAAAATTGTAGATTTATTAAGTGTAGATAGTTATAATTCCTCAGTTATATGTTTCGTTTTTTAGGTGGTACCGGCTTTGCTCCCAGAGCATTTAGCATTTCAAATTGTTCTGCTATGGAAGAACAAAATTGTTAAAAGTGCTTTTTGCGAACGACTTTTTTGTAGATGTGTCAAGTATTCATTAGCAGCTATTTGAAATGTAGTATGAATTAGTGAAGAATTTCATCGTGTACTTATCGATATTTGCACTGTTTAGTCTGCGCTGTGTTTAGTGGCTCATTTCTATTTGTCATCACTGTTATTGGCGGTCCGTTACAAATTATACTCGACCTTTTCGTTTGCTTAGAATTTCAACTGAAGTGCGTGTAAATATTAAGTTGATTAAGAAATAGAAATAATATGTGTAAAAGTAACGAAATTTTAACGTAAAATTGTGTTACGCAGTATTTCCACTAAATCGGAAGTGTATTATTAGCAACTGCAAATTAGAAACTCCAAAGTGTCGTGTGGGCATAAAAATGTTTATTAAGTGTTTGATAGTGTGTGTCTGTCGGGAAAAGCAAATAATACATGCTAATATAAATTTTAATCATTATAAGTAATTGGCTGCTTTGGCTTTCAAATTCATAACAGTTTTTAGTATCAACATAACCAAAGGAAATATTAAATTTGCAAGCAGCCTCTACGAAACGCGTGGTACAACAGCTGTTAATAATGTAAGTAGAAAATTTCTGCAACTGCAGCAGTGCACAACTTTAAATTTATTAAATATAGTCAAAAAACCAATAATATTGAATTTTGTCAAAAAAAAGTGAAGTAAAAAAATATTAAATGTGGTTAAAAAATATATTTGTACATTGTCAAACCAAACATTGGTACTGCTGAAAAGTGCAGCAAATTATTTCACCTTTCTGAGTTTAATTTTTGTTGTAAATATCTCTAGTCCAGTTGAAATTCGTTTGCTATTTTCTTAAAATTTTTCAACATTTTCTTTGCTATCTACGTACATAAGACCACTAGATTTCCGTTACTTTTTGCCCAAAAAGATATGTTTTGTTTGCGTTTGGTACGTGTTGCAGCTGATACTTTCAGTTATGCATGTATTTTTTATTGCTATTTGTATAAATATTTTTTGCTAAGTTGATCAACAAATCTCTTGTTTTTTGTTAATAAAATTTTTGTTTAAAAAGAAATGCAAGAATAACAGTAAAATGGCGAAATTTTTCTTCTTATTTTCTCTTAGTATATCCGTGTGCATTTAGTGTTGTACATATATGCACCCTTTTACGGACAACTCGTACATATCCACACATGTATATTTGTATAGTTGGTTAGCAAGTTGCAATTAAATTTTATGATACACTATTTCTTAAAGCTAATAAATGTTCAAAAATAATTAATAGTGCCAAAGTGACATTTTAATTTGTCCATTAACTCCATAATTTTTTGTTCGTATTAATCAAAATGAAATTAATACCAAATCATTTTGTGGAGATTTTTATAACTATAAAAGTAAATATATACATATAAAAGAGAATGCCGTAACCGGTAATGTACGTGCCTAGTATATGTATATAGCGCTTAAAAAATCTATATTAAATTTGTATATAAACATTTAATTGCAGCAGTGAAAATTCTTATGTTTATTTATTTAAGTAAATTCAAATCAAAGTTATGTGTAAAATTTTGTCATTGCCCACAATTCCATAGATCAAAGCTGACCCAATGGCTTTGATCGCTACGAAATTGCGTCTCAACCATCCAAACAAAAAAAAAAAAAAACTAAAAAGTACATACATATGTACGTACATAGGTGTATTTATTAATATTTATATAAAAAAATTGATTTTATAATTTAGTAAGCAAATTTTATGTATGTTTTAAAGAGCATAGTATAAAAGTGTGTGAATTAATTACGTAGGTAGAAATTTCAGTATTATCTTCTCGTTTTAGCACAAAAATATTTTTTTTTTTCATTTAGGATTTGCCAAGCGTTTAACGGTTTTAATAAATGGTAAGTGTTGGATTTTATATACAAAACTATATATTAGATATTATAAGAAAATTGCGTTTTTTTCGTAAATCGAAATTATACTGCGTAGTAATGGCTTAAAATTAATAATAATATAAAGTTGCTTAACAATTACGTGTACATAAACGCAGAATTTCATATATGTATATGTAATCTCTTTAACAAATGATATTTTTTATTTTTGTTTTTGGTTTGCACATATACTCTTTTTTATTAATGAAAAGGAGGTATATTCGGGGTCAAACGAACTGGCTTTTATTTATTGTTTTCAGTTTAATATTTATTTTTATTTTGTATTAACTATTTTTTATGCTACAATTAGTTTTTATTTGTTGTTTTAAAGTTTTTAGCTATTTCCTTCATATTTGGTACTTAGTTTTCATACTTTGCTTTGGTACGCGTTGCCTGCTTTGTTAATAAACAAATATTTGTTTATTAAATTTGCAATGATATATATTTTAACTACTTATATTTGTAAGATTTCGTTATATATAATAGTTATGGCAATAAAGAAATTTAAAGTTATTAATTTTTTTACAGATTTTGTAACAACAGCACGTTAAGGTTAACAATAAGAATGTAATGTTTGTTTTATTTACATATTTATGTACTGAGAGATAAAAATTAAGTATTTACACAAACAGTAAAGTTAGTAAAACACAGTATTGAAAGTTTAACTATACGTGTATGTACATATATTTTTGTTATCGAAATGTGTATGTACATATGTATGTATATATATTTTAGAATTGAAATTGCGTATGAAAAATTAATTAATTAAAAAAAAAATTTGTTCATAGCGATTGTATAGTATGTATGCATGTTTACATAATATGTCTTATGTACAACAATTACCATGCTTTCTCTTCATATCAATGCGCTATTGATTTATATAACTACAAATAATTTTTTTCTTTGATTTTTTGCATACATTCACGGCTTATGTTTGTTGTATGCTGCTATGTTGTGTCAATAAATTAATTTAATTAGTAAAATTTATAATTTCAATTATTCACATATCTTTTTTAATTTAAAAAAATTGTTTAACGTTAATTTTTAATAAGAATTGCATGCAATAATGCATTTACATACACTAATGTATGCACGCTTGTACGTTTCAAGTATATTTATATATATATATATATATGTATGTATATATGTATAATATATAAATATAATATTTTTTATGGATTTCTCATATGTATGTATGTATGTAATATTTATGTTTATAACTACTGCGTCTTTAATTACTTTTTTTAAACATATTTCAATATCTGTCTCTTATACACATCTAGATGTGTATAAGAGACAGGTACRTAAWMTTTTTTTCAAATTTTTTTTTTCAAAAAATGTTTTTTTTTTATTAAATTTTTTTACTATTATTATTATTTTTTTAACTCATTCTTATTGTTTACGCGTGTATAATACCTGTCTCTTATACACATCTAGATGTGTATAAGAGACAACATTTTTTGTTATTGTAAATTACTTGACGCTATATACATTTATGAGACTTAAAGCTCCTGCGTTAAGAACTCGAAAAAGGAATCACAAAATTTTTTTTCTTTCACAATCGCAAACTGAAATTGCACTCATTGCATATATTTGTTTTCATTTACTTTTTACTAATTTCTTTAATATTATAACAATTTTTAAGTATTAATAATTTTTTATTAAATTTTTTTACTATTATTATTATTTTTTTAACTCATTCTTATTGTTTACGCGTGTATAATACAGACCTAGTGCATTTTCTCCTTTCTAAATCCTTCGAACTTTCGTAAATTATTTATATTTTCGTTTAGTTGGAATATTACTAATTAAATACATTTAGTTTTTACTTTTGTCTGCTACTTTTAATCATCCCACGTGGGGAATTGCGTCTCATCGATGAACATGGTGAATTTGCCATCGCTACCTGTTGTTGCTGTTGTGGAATTCGCTGTTGTATTTCTTGTACTAGTGGAATTTTTTGTTTGTGGTTGTTTTGAGGAATTGCTTTCGGTTGCTTTGGAATAATTTGTGTTGGAGCGTTCTGAAATTAAGACATAGAAAATTTTAATTTACAAAAAATAAAAAATAAAAACATTAACTTGTGTAGCGAAAACATGATTCACAAATCGGAACGTTTTCCAAACAAAAATTTGATTTTAAGCGCTTAGTTTGTTGGGTTTCTATATGCTATAGTGGTCCGATCTAAACTGATATTGTAACGCTGCTTTGAACAATAATCCATAACAAATTTCGTATAGATATTTTGTTAAATAAAAATTTTTTCCGTAGATGAACTTGATTTTGATTTGTCAGTTTATATGTCAGCTATATGCTATAGTGGTTCGATATTGGTGGTACCGACGAATGAGCAGCAAACTTTAGATCGATTTCTCAAAAGTTAAGGGACTAGTTTGCCTATATACATATAATACTTTACATAGGCAGACAGACGAACGTGTTTTCTTTTGACGAATTTGATTAGAACGACTCAGTTCAACGTTTTCTTTTTTCTAGTCAAACTCACTTGTTGTTGCTGTTGTCTGTTTTGCCCGTGTATCCTTTGTAGCCCAAACAGGCTCATTGCTTTGATTCATATACGTTGGCTGATCCCACACGGCCTTTTCCTCAACATTTTTACTCTGCAAAAAATTATTTAAAAAATTGATATTTATTTTTATTGTTCTGTTTTTCTCTTTCTAGTGCACGTACATAGTCCTTATCGACATGCAGTTCTATCTCATCAGTCGTCTGTTCGAGTGTGCTATGCGTTATGCCATAGTAGAAGTACATGATGAAACCCAGAGTCATCCATATGGTGAATCTAACTAAGGTGAGTATGCTTAATTTAAATATTAAATAAATATTAACGGTTATGGCAATTGTTGGAATAAATGGAAGTCCCGGCGTTAAGAATGCGAGCGCATATCTAGGATAAATGAAATAAGAAGAATTGAATTGAAACATTTGGTACTTGTGTGTGCGTGTTTGTTTGCGTTGGGAATAAATTAATGCAAATAAGTAATATTATTTACCTATTTTGTGGTTGTCTTGATATAATTAATAGTATCACAAATATGCCAATGAACAAAATGAAATAAATGAATGCGGCGAAGCCACCGGACCAGCCAATGGCCGCAAACAGATCCAAGAAGAATATGAGACCGAACATGATTCCAACAAGTTTCGTGACATACATGCCTGTTTGTGAAAATAATATAGATAATAATAAAAAAGCAACAATTTCGAAGAGTCTATGAGTAAATGTTGTGCTAAAATTATGTGAAGATTTTAAGACACTATTCAGTACAGTTACATGACTAAAAGCAACAAAGGAAATGCATACATACCACTTTCCGCCGTGGCTTGGCCAGGATTGATCCATGGAAAGAAACCGGGACATAGGTACGCATAATCGTGTATTTTGCGCGATACGAAATTTAGACCCATGGTATCGAAGGCGGTTGCTTGACCAGTCGGTCCAGTTGGCGCACCATGCACGCTACCATAGAATTTGTTCTCCGAACGATCGGACACGAGAAATTGATCATCGCGTCCTAGATAGCCCTCTGGACTCTCATCGATGAACGAGTCATCAGAATCGGACATGCCACGCGTAACGCGTTTTATTGTTAATTTGTTCGACGGCAACACTTCGGCGGTGGTAGCGCTCGGATCCGTTGCCGTGCCCGGCGCCAGCGGTGTGCGCAGCTGTGCTGGCAGCAGCTCGACCAGCGATGTGCTGTGCGGTTGATAGCGCAACACTAGCACGCAGGTGGAGACCAGCGTGTAGGCGAGCAGTGTGCCGATGGACATCATTTCAACGAGTATCTCCAAACGCACCGTGAGCGCAACTAGCGCAGCTGCAATACCGCTGCCAATGGTCGCCAAACCCGGCACATTCGTGCGTTGCCATAGTTGTGAGAGTTGCCTGGAGAGCGTGCAAAGATAAAAAGATAAAGCATGACTCCAATTGCATAATGTATCAGTGCATCTACAGTACCTGAATATGAGCCCATCTTGCGCCATTGCATAAATCACGCGTGGCATGGGAAACATAGAGCCGAACATTGCCACGGATAGCCCAGCGGTGGCGCCCACAGCGACAATGGCGCGACATTTCGGTGCGCCCACATAAGACCACATTTGAACCAACGCTGCGCCCGCGCTAATATGATCGTAGGGCACTGCAAGCAAATGAAAGTTGAATCATTCGACACAAAGTCAGCAAATATTATGTAAGAGGCTTACCAACTAGTGTTAAGACTAAACTAACGCTCACATACGCAAACAGAACGATCACTAGTGAGCCAACAATTGCTTTCGGTATGCTCTTTTGTGGGTTGTGCGCTTCCTCACCGGTGGTGGCTATAATATCGAAACCGATGAAAGCATAAAAGCAGGTCGCAGCACCCGAGAACACCTGTAATAGGATGTAAAAGCATAAGCACATTAAAATCCTACATTTCTTGCAATGATTGATTTTTTATAAGCCATCATTTTTTTTTGCAACTTACACCACTCCAGCCATATGGCAAGAAGCCTTGATGCTCCGTCCAAGTGCTGGTGTCAACATAAAATAAACCGGCTGCCATCACGAATACCCATGTCGCCAGATTTATGGCATTTAATGTGTGATTAAATATCACCGATTTACTCGCCCCCATCGCCAATACGCAGGTCATAATCAACGCTATGCCGAATGCTATAAAATCGGGTGGCTTACCTAGTGGTGGATGAGTCAGATTTGGTAGTTATGATAAAATTTCGTTTAGTTTTAAGTGCTAATAAAATCGAATGAGTACAACTAAAATCATATTGGAAACGGATGCATTTAAGTCTTACCGAATATGGTGCCGACTGTATCACCAATTGAGTTCGCTATTGCCCCGCCGGTTAGTGAATCGAAACTCGAACTTAAAGCACATGCACAGGCACTTGTTCCTGTTAGAGAACAATAATTCAGTTTATTCAATATTAAACTAAATGAAACGCATTCTTGGAGTTACGAGAATTTAAATCTCGTGCTTTGCTTACCTATTAAATATTCCAATATCATATTCCAGCCAATGATGAACGCTACAAACTCGCCCACCGCTACATATGAGTACATATAAGCTGAACCGGAAGTGTGTGGCACGCGTACGCCGAACTCCGCATAGCAGGCCCCTAAAAGAAGCCCGAACGATATTTTAAATTTTGTGTGCTGTTGGGGTTGTGCGTTTTCTTACCGGAAAAAATGCTTGCCACCGCTGCAATGATAAAACTAATGATCACACCGGGTCCGGCGAGATTTTTCGCCACCATACCCGCAACCAGGTACATACCAGTGCCGCAACACGATCCAACGCCCAGCGATGTTAAGTCCAGTGTGTTGAGGCATTTCTATGCAAAAGAGAAAAAAATATTAGTGCAAAATTTCAGCGTGGCACTTTAGCGCACCAAGAGAACTGCTGACTAAAATTTTAAGGATATTAAAAGAGGCCTTCGTAAAAAATTTGATTTAAACGCTACTAATGCTATTCCCGTCAAGGACCAAAACCGGTTTATGGTCTTACGAGCATACCCGATTAACCTTACGTAATCTAACCTAATGTTCTTTGAGACTATGCGCGATTTGAAGCACGGTGCATGCTTTACTTATATAGAGACAGCTGGCAGCCAGCTTCCCGCGAATTTACCCGGTGACTTTCAAATCACATAACATCGCGGCGCGAGAGTCACCCAAGCACTGGCCAGGCACGGTGCTTGCTTT